CACAGCTTTAAAGGAACACTCCGGGCACCATACCAAATTAATAAGAATGAAATTGTTATTGTGCAGGAGGTCCATGGTGTTGGCTTCTTTTAGGGGTTAAAGTGTTCATTAACAGCTTAACCCCAAAGTCCAGATACAAAATACAGATACAAGATACAGATACAAAAAGTAGATAGGTTAGCACTCACAAGTCTTCAAAAGTAACACATCTTTATTAAGACAAAGTACAGATATTAATCATAGTCAAGATTCAGTCAGACAAAATTCCCAGGGACTGAAATGTTGACTATGATTAATAACTTGTTTTTACCTTAATAAAGAGGTTACTCTGTCCTGTCCACTTGATGTGCATGTCTTATCTGTTTTATTTTATGGTACATGTTAAGGCTACATGTTTTTGTTTTTGGCTGTTTTATTTTTTTTTTTTACTTAAATAAAAGCACTAAACTGTCACTAAATAATGGACTCATGCAACGTGTTTGTAATATGTAAAAGATTGGGAATAAAATCCTATAGTTAGTACATGTTCTAATAGTGTAGCAATATTTGATGCAAATTATCATGAAAACTACAGTTTTGTACTTCGTAAATTACGCTTGTGAAAAGTATTAAATGAAGATATATAAAAACATGCGTAGGGTGTTGGCATGCATATGGGTATTAAGAGCTGCGTATTTAATAAAAACATAATGCTTTCAGCATGTCTTCCACTCATGCAGAGTGCCAAACGTTATTAAGAATGGAGCCTCAGGTGGGAAGCTGCTGTGTAAATTACACAGTGTTTGAAGCCTGCTAGCGGGATCACCGTGGGTGACAGCGGCATATTATTTGTGTCCTGGAATTGTCAGTTGAAAATATCAGATCATGTTGCCTTTTGGTAGCACTGATTAAAACCTCCAAAGTGCAACGTGCAAGGAAAATGAAATGAATTCAGAGAATTCTGAAGTAGAAAAAGTTTCACAATTCAGTGTTTGCAGTTGATACAAAGTACTGGGTAAGGAATTTGGCTAAATTAGAGGACTGGGCAGTAAAGTGGCAGATGAGAGTTATGCACTTTGAGATGAGGTACTTACAAGCAACGTTTACTAAATGATTAGAAGAAACAATAATTGAAAAGGAAAAGGATATAGGAATAGTTATAGGAAACAGCCTAGGTAGCAACGTGCGAAGTCCATTAGCAGCGGGTAAGGTGAGTAAGATATTGTTATGGACATTATTTGGACTTTTATTTTGACTGTTTTTATTTTGCTTGTTTTTATTGTCTTCTGCTGGCTGTGTGAGAACTACCTCGCTTCACCTGGTTCCACAGTGTGTGGATACATGCCCAGATTGTCTACCTGCTTGTAAGTGCAATCTTAATACATTTTTCTAAGTTTTAACTATACTTCACCATGTATGGCTCTCTTTCCTCCATTTATTAAAGGAATCAATGAGGATTGGAATCCAACAGCTTTCCTTATTGTTTTAACCACTGGTGGGTTGAGAAGCTCTCTTTCACCTATTTTTGTGAGTGTGATTACTATGTAACACATATTTCTATTTAACGGTAACTGTATTACACTATGTAATGTTTATTACTGTTACAGATCCACATACATAATTTATTCTATTTATCCTGGTTCATCTTCCCAGGTTGTATTCAATTTACCACATACTGGTTGTTTTCCCACTTTTTCCTTGTACCTATTTGTATATTAGGTGTGTGTGAGGTACACCTGGGTAACACCTAGTTTTTCACGTACCACTTAAAAAATGTTTAATTTCAGTAGTGTGTGTATACATATTTCTTTCTCGTAAGATATTGTTATGCACTCAAGTGCATGTTGATTTGCAGGATGAACATATGAGGATACATATGAGGGGATACACATTGTATTCAATATACAAATATATCTATATAGGGACAGCGTTACAAAGAATGTCTAAACAGGATTATAAAAAACATTTTCCCCAATCTTAGGTCTTCCCTGACCTTACCAGGCTTAGCTGAGCACAGTGCCCAATATGACCCTCACCCAGTAGCAGAATAATCCTGGTACAGACTCCCGAAAAAGAACTGAGAACTGAAGCCAAATAAACATTTAACCATGTGATGATCGGACACAAAGCGGACTATGAGAGTGCTGTTTGGGAAGATGGCAGCTGAGAGAGTGAACAGTCTGGGGGTATGTTGATTTATGGGCATTCAGTGAACGAAGGTGTAGCAGTAGAGCAAGTAATTCTGGTGCCAGAAACCAGAGGCCCCAGCGGGTGAGATATTACATTACCTCCTGAAGTAATTGATGTCTTTAGCCCTGGACTGGACTGCGAATGTGAGGGTTTACACTTTTATCACCTAATCTCCTGCAGGTTCAGTACACAAGCATTCTAAGCATATAGACATACATGTAAATATGTATGTTTTTTTTCTTTTCAATAAAGTTTTCTTGTTTTCACCTTTCATCAAGTCTTGACTGGTGTTTGGGTGAAGGGCTATAATTACTAAACTGCATTGTGCAGTAGTGAGGAGGGAAGCTGGTGGAGGTACTTGAGCTGAGTAACAGGGTTCCGCTACAGCCAGAATAAAAATCTCTCAGGCAGTTTGTTCATTAATAAGTCCATGCAAGGACAAGAAGTCATCTACTTTTTTCAAATAATGCACCCAATGTTATAAATATGTGCTTGCTTTTTTTGGAAATGCAGAGAAAATATTTAAGAATGTAAAGGTTAATGCATGGGGTAACAGTTTGTTTCTCCATTTTAGAGTCAGACAGGTAATTATTGGGAGAACTGCCGTTCAGCTACCAGAGTTAAGGTTATCTCATGTAGGAAAATTCTGAGAAATGTGCAGATAAATTCTTACAAAACAGTCATAATTCAGAACCCTAATGCAGTTGTTTAATTTAAGTGTCTTTCAGTAAAGCTGTAATGTGACACCTTTCTGAATTCCGCTTCTACAGGGTCCAACTAACCTTGATTTCATTTATATCCAAGAAAAAAATAGAGCAATTTTTAAATATCCTGAGTCACTGTGACTTAAAAAGTAGCTGAAACTGGCTTTAAAATCTGTTGCCATAAAACTATAGTTTGCTTAGGCAGCTTTCCGCTCAGGAGCTAGCTGGTCAACACATGTCCTTTCCATATGTCAATGTTTGAACCTCATGCATCAAACTGCCCACTTTGAAATGTGCAGTGATTTTAGGGCAGTGCATTTCACTGTTACTTTAATATATATTTTTTATTAGCAATAAAGAACGTTTAACTCCATCTGCTGTGAAAGGTGCTGGGTACTATTATTATTATTATTTATATAGCACTAACTAATTCTGCAGCGCTTTACAATAATATGAAAGCTGGGGAAATTCACAATAAGTGAGACAATTACACAGTGACACAGGAACAATAGGTAGATGAGGGCCATGCTCAAACGAGCTTACTAAGATTTAAGGGTTAAGCTAGGGGTCACAGTTGATTTTTAGTTTTCACTATAATGTTGACTGTAAACATGGTAGATAGTGAATGTTAATATCAGTCAAGGACTTACAGACGTTTCTGGATTTTCACACTCCTTGTTTGCATTCCAAGTCTTGGGACTGCAAACACCATCATTCAAAGCCAAGCATGTCCTGACTGTGAATGTGGATGTTTTTGCATAATATGTGATATAGATTTAATACACCTTACAGGTTAGAGATTCTTGAGAAATGCTGCAATTCAAAACAATTCCGGTCCTTATTGTGAAAGCAAAAGGAGCTCAGCTGTAAACATCTTGTTATAAGAGAAAAGGACGAAAGTTGGCTCATCAGTAAGTTCTGGAATGGCAACCTGCTCTTTAATATGATATAACATTGCCTTTTGTTTTTCTGTTTTACAATATAAAGCTATATACATCATTTGATTATATAAATTTTAATCACATCTGTAAAAATGTCTTAATGCGTCATGGAATCACACTTTGCCCAACAAGATTTACTCCAGTATAATACACCCAAAACAGGATGTTAAATGCAGTGTTACTAATGCCCCGTTTCTACTGAGCGGTTCGGTTCAGGTCGGTACGGTCTGGTACGGTATTTTGAGTGTTTCCATTATGAAAGTGGCCCATACAACCAAACCAAACCGCACCATTCCTGGGCCACCTTCAGATGTAGGTCCATAGGAAATGGTACAGTACGGTTAGGGTGGAGCTACTGGCTTCACACTATGCAATCCATTGATTGGCGGACAGGAAAACGTCAATGCTCATGACAAATGACACACTAGGCATTTGGTCTAAACCCCGCATGCTCCCTGGCGGTCCGACTTGCAGTGAAAATGCTCATCTGAACAGGCTGGACCATTCTAACCCTTCTGAACCGTACCGACCCAAACCATACCGCTCAGTGGAAACAAGGCATAATACCACCACCTAGGCAACACAGAACCAAATTAGGTGGAAGCAATATAATTATCTGTTAAAGGTCCATTGTCACTTCCCATGGTTGTTGCTACGATGTGTACTTATCTCTATATTTAACAATTACATTAATTTAAATATAGAGATCTACACTTTGTTACCTTGCAGATGAGCACATCCGTGCAAGTTTTGCTCAGGGCCGTCAGTATAGAGATGGCATGCAGACAAGATATGTAGAAAAAAAAAAAACAATGTAATCTATTTCTCCTCTTCATTTGCTTTTTGCTCTGACTTTGCCTTTTCTTGAACTGGATTGTAATGTAATCTTTAATACAAATGAAAAAGAATGGCTCGTCTCATGAAATAAAAGGTTAACACAAGTTATTACAAATACAAAAAGATAAGTCCTGCGCTCACTCCCATCACTCCTGGGCGGCAGCAATGACTACAGTATACATCAGCCCCAATATATAGTAAAAACCAAAGAAAAGAAAAAGTTACCTGCGCTCCCTCCTTAATCCCTATGTATATTTAGACAAATGGAGGTCATTTAGTTGCTCCAATGGCCATTGGAGGGAATGCCCGCCTGCCAACGTCAAGGCAGACCCCCCTAAAGCTGGTCCTAACACTGACCCTTCAGCCTGCTTCCTTGAGCTTCTGGCAAAGCTATCTCTAATGAGACAGAAAGGGGTATTTTTTTATATACACCCCTATATACTTATTAACCCTTAATATATACACCTCTATATACTTATTAAGGGTTAATAAAAAATACCCTTCAGTCTCATTAGCGATATCTTTGCCAGAAGTTCAAGGAAGCAGGCTGAAGGGTCAGTGTAGCACCCGCTTTAGGGGGGTCTGCCTTGACGTGGCAGGCGGGCATTCCCTCCAATGGCCATTGGAGCAACTAAATGACCTCCATTTGTCTAAATATACATAGGGATTAAGGAGAGAGCACAGGTAACTTTTTCTTTTCTTTGGTTAACACAAGTTATTGTTGATTTTGAATGTTTTATTTAATAGTGTAAATTCCAGAGAAGTGATATTTCCCTTTTAATTCCTAACAAACCTTTGACACTCATGTGTTACAAGCTCAGAAAACCTCTCATTCAGTAATTGAAAGTCTAACAATTGTTAAATTGACACTACACATCTATCCCAGTGACTACTACTTTTACAGCATCTTTACTAATATCTGCCTGTGGGGTCCTACTATTTCCAGCCTGCCAACAAAATTTCTCAAAAGTTTATAGAGTAGTGGGAGAAATTATGCGTTTAGAGGGAGAATCATTAAACTTAGCTGAATGTGTTAATGTGTGTCCCTGTCGTAATTTGAGACAATAAACATTACAATATATCTAGGATAGCAGCATTAATATATAACCGTGTCTGATTATTCATGCTGAGTGACTCCTATTTCCCAATGTCACTCTGTTACGAGCTGTATATTTTGCTTTTCTCTTGAAATGTTCCTCTGTGTATCTTAACTGTCATCCATTCTTGTGCTCTTTAGATTACATTAGCTGACTTTAGAGGAGTTTTATACATATCTCAGAGGCAACATTAAGTAATTGTCTACCATCAAGTTCACGTTTCTTTTGTAATATATGCTCAGATGTCTTTTACTTTTCCTAATTATTGTTTTTTATTAGATTACTAATTGTTGACAAATGTTTCAAGTCAAAGGATAACAGGGATTGACATGATAGGACTTCGTTTTTTTGCTTTGTGTATACGGTGACATGATAACCTGACTATGTCAAGCAAGGCTAAACTACGGTTGAGGGTTGTCACAATTTCTATCAATTTCTTCAGTCACAATTTCTTCTATCACTTTATAATGCATTTTTTAAACACATTACGTATATGAAAATGTCTGCATAACCTATGTATGTGATACCATAACCCCATCATAATTGCAAATTGGTACTTTTAATTTTAATCAGGAATAAGGATAGGAACATTGTAACACTTAATTTATAGAGATTTGTTTAGCCCTCTCACTGCTGAGCAAATACTAGACTTTTTCAGCAATATATTTGGGAGTATATCAACAGCATTGATTTGTCGACAATATTGCTAAAAATAGGCTTAGTTAATAAAGTCCTTTTGGCAATTTTAAACATAGAGTTGACCCTCTAATATACCTGCTACTGGATGAATTGGTGGTTATGTTTATGAGTAGCCTTTTAAGGCTAGTCTCACAGTAAGTAATATTATTTTGGAATTTGATTTATTCTGATGGAGATTCTCTCCCGTCAGATATTTTTATATATATATATGAGTCTTTGCTACGTTTCACCCAGTATAGGATACTTTAGTTAATTCCAGGTCGCGCCTATCCTTGTGACATGAAAAAGTGCCCTTTTTTGTTTCTTCCAATTTTATAATTAGGGTGAGGCCCTGATACATCCATGGAGTGTCTAACTGGTGTGCAGGTTCCAGTAATTTGTTTATCCCGGTCCATGTATTAGTGTGTGTTTGTTTTTTAATTGGTGAAGAAGTGTTGAGACTTCTTCACCAATTAAACACAACACAGGTGAGAGTTAATAGGAATGGAATTAAGTGTCATTAAGAAATAAAATTACTCTTAAAAAAAAAAAAATACTGAGAGGTTGCAATAATTTATTTGTGAAACTCTATGCTCTTTTTATTTAAGGTGTGCTTTGGCTTTGACGGGCTTTGTTTCTAAGCTAGTGAACTGATCAATCTACAGTGTCCCTTTCAAATGATCAAAAAAAAATATAGAGAACTTTTGTGTAATATAGTTACTGAAGACATTACCTCAATGCTGGAAGAAATAGAGAACAGATGTACCCTCTGTATTCGAGGGATGACAATTTACTACATAAATAAGTCCAGATGAGCATCATTAAGGCAAAATGAAAAGATGATGCAGGTGCAGCAGGGTAAAAAAATTAGATATTTTATTTAGTTTTTCTTGAGCATTTTAAGCACAATACATTATTTCATTTGCTATTGAAAACATGCAACATTACCATGGATAATGCTACTGACATGAACATTGAAAAAACAAAAACATATTTTAAATCCTATACAATTCCTTTTTTGCAGTACCTATTTCATCAACGCTGTTGTAGTAAAATCAACTTACTTTATTTTGATTGAACAGCTGGCAGAGTGCTGACCCAGTTCATTCCAGGACAGAGTTTAATTAACATCAAAAACCTTAAACAATTCTAAAAAAAAAAACATGCTAGATTAACTATGGCTCAAACCTTCTACTACTGGAAGTGGAAAGTGAACCCTGGCAAGCTGGTCCAATGGGCTACATTGTGTCTGCAGGGAGATGTGATGATGGGTCTGAAATAAGTCAGTGGTTGCTTCCTAGCAGCTCCACAACCAGAGCTACTGCTGGTATAAATGAGCCACAAGGAGTGTGTTCCATGTAGTATTGATCAGATTGTACTCTAACATGGTGGAACATCATCCTACAGCACATTCCACAAGGAACTACATTGATCAGTACTTCATAGAGTGAACTTTGTGCAACTTGCATTCACGTCACAATGCAGCCTATGTAAGTAAAACAGGTACGCCTCATAATCAATTGGAAGGCATAAGGTAGAGTTATAATTGACTGAGAGGAGGATGAAATAATGGGCTATTCATGATTATAAAGAGGGAAGAGCAATGTAATAGGCTATTCACTGTCTCTGAGGGGAGATTATGATAATGGGTGTAGCAGAGTCCTTTCGGGCTAGAAGAAATGTCACTTCAGTGATTATAGCCCACCTCCCCAAGCACTAGACGACACTTAGTCGACAGGAAAACAACAACCTTTATTGAAAACAGCACATCCATTTACACCTCCAACATCCTCATTTACATACAATAGAGTTACAGTTTAACACAAAGTTCCCATTCAGGTCCTCCACTATAAGCCCTTCGAAACAGCAGAGTGAGCAGAAGTCCACTAATAGCAGTAACGACTTAACCAATTAAAATACAAACAATAATTATATAATATTATAATTAGTGTGACTGGAGCATTGTGGTAAAAACAAGGGCTTATAAGGCCCCCACGAAGGTGATTTAAAGAAGTGACAGAGCAGCTAGTTTGAACTGGTCTGTAAGTGTCCCTGGTACAATGGAACAATGCTCTGCTGGTAAAACAATAATACAGGAAAAATGAGAAGGGGAAAGGCACATGCAATTGAATCAATACATTCAATTTAATACATATAACTAAATCATATGGGGAAACATACAGGCACTCATAATAGCACAATATAAAACAGCAGACCATGCATGTGCCTCTGAGCCTGGGGATTCTTTTTTCAAATACAATAAGCAGCCAGGGCCCACAGACTCAACAGCCCCTTTTAGTGGGTCTTGGGACCAGCTCCATAGTCTGTGGGCAGGAGACTAGCTTTTATGTCTTTTCAGAAGGCTGTAGCACAGGAGCTTCCATCACAATGGGTGATAAATAACTCTTCGGCATGGAGAGAATAAACTCTTACTGACTACAGAGATGTGGAGAGAATGGGCTATTGGGAGGATGGTAGAAAATCGACTGCAAACCCTTAGAGTGGGTGGTTTTGTGACAAGTAAAGGGGAAATGGTGGCAGATACATGTGTTCTTTCACACATTAACTCTCCATGCAATAATATTTATCCTGAATTCCACACATCCTGAGCCTCTATGCAAATACACTCCAGTACTAATCACACTTACACAGCAGTGTTCCATGCAGGGCCACCATCAGGGTATGACTACCATGATGGCTGTCATGGGCCCGGCGGTCCTGGACTACTCTGGGAGTTCCAGGCCCCACATTGCCTATGTACACATGTATTTATACCGATTTTCTCTATACAGGCGGTTCTCACTTTGTGACTTACCTGTTTTGCGACAGCTCGCACTTACAACTAGTGATGTCGCGAACCCGAAATTTTCGGTTCGCGAACGGCGAACGCGAACTTCCGCAAGTGTTCGTGAACCGCCCGAAACGCCATTGACTTCAATGGGGAGGCGAATTTTAAAACACACAGGGACTCTTTCTGGCCACAATAGGGATGGAAAAGTTGTTTCAAGGGGACTAACACCTGACTGTGGCATGCCGGAGGGGGATCCATGGCAAAACTCCCATGGAAAATTACACAGTTGATACAGAGTCTGGTTTTAATCCATAAAGGGCAGAAATCACCTAACATTCCTAAATCACAATGAATATGGATTGACACCTGACATATGACATTGACACCTTGACATATGGATTGACACCTGTCCTCAGAGCCCCTGATGCACACGGACACAGAGCAGAATAGAGACTGGTCCCCTTACATAGGGTCACTTGGCAGATATGGATTGACACCTGTCCTAAGGATCCCTGATACACACTGACACAGAGCAGAATAGG